TAGTGTTGAATTACTGTTTTTAATGAGGAGAGTCTGTAAACTCTTACAGTTTTGTATTTAGAAGTAGTAGTGTGAGTACCAAATACAAAGATCTTTTATTGACTAGGTTTAGATAGCAAGTTTTACAGTCCTGAATGTGATGCTGATGTTATTCCATGTATTTGAGTTTTGTGCTCCTCCAAGGACAAGCTTGGTGGTGCTGTGGGTGCAGTTCTTTCTGGAGGATCAATTTTTTTAGTTGTAATGATAGTGGCACATTCCTTCATTTCCTTATGCTAGGATTGGAATAAATGCTCCAGGCATTCGCTACAGGTCTGTACTGAGATACATTTAGTCTATTTCCCTTGAATTTTATGGAGACTTATTCCCACCTTTGCTCCCATTTCTCATCTATCACTCTAGTGGTCACTGCAGTCAGAAATGAATCAGGATGTGTCTGCATCCTGCACTTTCCACCTCTTTAAAACTATTGCAGAAGAAACTTTACTTTGAAGCAAAAGTGGTGTTGTGTCTTCAAACTTAAATGTCCATTTCTTGGGCAGTGGCCCTGATTATGCAGTCAATTTAGGCTCAACTGGATTATGAAATAAAATTGCAAAGAGTAGTTGGGTGAAGGCTTACTTTCAATGCATTTCTGTTTCTTTGGATAATGAGAAGACTTACTAGAATTGAAGGCTATTTGAAACCTCCAAAGTAAGAGTTGCTTTTTAAATCTCTTCAAAGCAATATTGTTGATTGATGCAGTCAGTTTTGCACTGTTCAAGGAAGTTTCTCAAGGTGTGCAGCTCTTAGTTGCTAAGGCTGTTAAGTGAGCTTGACAGCCCCACTGCATGTCCCACTGAATCTTGGTAACCCTGGCATGTTCTTGGAATTCAGCCAGTGCTCACTTTTGCCATCAGTTAAAGATATTGTTCTTGTTCATTCTCTTTCCAGCGCCTCTCGCCTCCGTTTTTATTGTATGCCGGTATTAGCTTTGGCCTTCTATATGGAGAGAGTTTTAAACTTTTTCAGATGGAGGGGGATATAAAACAAAATAGTAGAGATTTGTTGTTCACTTCCTTGGGAATATTTACTAATATTTTTGTAGGAGACAACAGTTTTAATTTTCCCTTTATATTGAGAGGTTAGAGTGGGTTTTTTTTTCTCAATTCACGTGTAGTTGGTTTCTGACATTAGCTTTGCTTGTTGCATCAGATCTGGCTCTAACTTTCCAGAACTTGGTGTGCTCTGTTGTCTTTCGCATCTGTCTTGAGCATTGTGCTTGTCTGCTTCAGTAGGTCTGTCACAGCTGGAAGAATTTGTTAGTGTTAATAAAAGTACTTCTAATTAGAGAAAGTTGTGGGCAAGACATGAAAACAAGCAGTTTAATCTATATTTGAAAATAAGTAGTGACTTTGTTTGTGGATAGGAGTTACAGGTCTGCTTCCAAAAAATGTGTTCTGACTTTGCAGTCACAAAGGCTGGCTCCGTGCTAATGACAATGGAATTGGGTTTGTCTTGGGTGAAAACTTTAGATCTGACTTACAAAGATGAATAAGGCATTGTATATATGATGTATGAACTTCTCCTAAGTCTTCTGTTCTGAAACACATGCTATGTGGTGTTAACTAGTTGTGACCCAAGGTTCTCTGTATGAAAAAGGAAATACCAAAGTGCAGTATCTCAATACAACTAAAAATGCTTTTTATAGTTTTCTCTGTAAACGGGCAGCTCCTTATTTGAATGTGAACAGTTTTGAATGATTCCTCCTGTATCTTTCTGGTTCTGTTCACAGATTGGTTATCTGAAAAAAAATGGAGATGGAACTTTATTATTTAGTGTAGTAAATTCATCTGATCCAGATGCAGAAGGTAAAAGCCATACTTTTTCAAGAAAACATTTCTAGTCTTGAATGTTCTAACAGATTTTGAAGCCTTAACTGTAGATATAGATCCTGTGTAGTATAGATGAGTTTTAAAATTGTTTTTAATTTTTCAAAAATTGTATTCTTTTCATTAATTATTTCCCAAACCATTTCCCTAAGTACCCCAAAGGTGTTTCTGTTTGCCTTCCATGTTTTTACTCTTCAGATACTTTGTTTTACTGATGCCAACAGTGAGAAGGTAAAATATTTCCTTGTAAGCACTTACACATTGCTACAACTTTATAAAGTTGGAAGACAAGCTTTTACTGCAAGTACACTGTAGTGTTAATAATGAGAAAAGGTGAATGAAGATGCTGCAATACTATGTAAATGTGCAATGCAGATGCAAATTTAGAATAATCTTTTACCTCTTTATTACCTAATTTAATTCATTAGCTAAATTTCAGTTTTAAGTTTTTGATGTTTTGCTCAATTTTTTTTTTCTTCAGTTCCTTGATAGTTTCTCTTTTTTTATGTTGTTACTGTTATGTTATTTATATTGTTTTATGCTTTCACTTTGCTTTAAATTCAAGCCCAAGATGCAGAAGTATTGAAAACTTGTAATGAATAAAATGCCATAGCTTTTTGGTACCAAGTGTCATGTTGGTTTAGTGCTTCCTTCTCTGCACCTTTTGAGATCAGAATTTTTTCACAGCTTTCCTCTTATTTCGCTGATAAATATATGAATGCTTTTGACCAATCGCATTGAGAGATGCAAGACTGCTAAATTCTTTTTCATCTGGTAGTAAATTTTTCTGGAATGAAATTAAGCATTTTGGCTGCAATCATGCATATTACCTATTTCTAAAAAAAAAGGTTATTTAATACCTCTGAAATTATGCCACTGAAAATTTAACGAGTGATGGTAATGGACTTCTATAAACAAACAACAACTTAGTCGACATAAGAGACTGCTTTTATCACTTTAGTAATATCTGGATCTTGAAGGTTTGTGAATCAGCTATTTAAATAATTACAGATGCTGCTGTATACTTTAAAAGTGAAATAACTTAAGTAAGCCATAGATCTTGTTAATATGACATGGAAGCATATTTATGGCTTGTGGTTGAAATTCAAATGGAGAACCTGAATTACAATACCTACCCTTAATGTATAGTTTAAAAAATAATTAGTCGTTATGTTAATTACAGCTCTAAAATACTGAATTCTAATTATTTGTCATAAATTGTAAACATGAAATGCTTTTCTAAGCCTTCTTTAAAATCAAATTATTAGAGGAAGAAACTCACCCAGTGGATCTGAGTTCACTGTCAAGCAAATTACTACCTGGCTTCACTACTTTGGGCTTCAAAGATGAACGAAGAAATAAAGGTAAATACCAAAGACCATGTTTTAACTTTGTTTTTATGAAATGTTCAAGCAATTAATAAATAATATAAATATAAAATAATTTCAGTTTATGCCTGCTTATACTATGAAAGTTTGCATGGTTATTTTTATAATATATAATAATTCCATTAACAGCAGAATGCAGCTTATATTAAATCGAATATTTTACGTAATTTAACGTGATTAAATTAGCATTTTATGTATTAATATTTTACCTTAGTGTTATAGCCACATTATAAATTTTCCAATAATGGTAGTCCATTTGCTCTGGGGGAAATAGTTTTTCCATAGTAATTGCACTTACGGTTGAAAAACAACTTCCAGTCATTTGCATTTTTGCAATATATGACAAAGATTTTGCAGACTATGAATTTTTTTCCTGGTATTATTGACAGTTTTTAATAGTTTCTAATCTGCTGTCTAGAATCTGACTGGCAGCCAGCAGTAAAGTAAATGCATACAAAATGTAGGACAACACAAGGGAATGTAGCCATGAACCTTTTTTTTCTCGGAGTGGGGTGGATAACATAGTACTCGATTTTTCAGTAGTATGTTTGTTTATGTGGTTAAAATAGTTATGCTGATTTTAGAGTCTGGAAGTGTGCTTGAGATGCTGCTGTTGCTTTCAGATGGGGGAAAAAATACATGGCACTTTTGTATCTGTTGCAGAAAGCACAGTCTTTTTTTTTTTTTCCCCTAAGTGATCTTGAGCTCTTGTGCTAATCATTTGTTGTGTCTTCTACCTGTGTAGTAACCTTTCTTACCAGTGCCAATACAGCACCTTCCTTGCAAAACAACTCTATATTTCATGATTTGAAACCAGATGAAATGGAGCTCCTATACTCAGCATATGGTGATGAAACTGGGATCCAGTGTGCCTTAAGGTAAGGCCTTCCTTATTAGGAAAGGCTAACTTCTCATAGCAATTTTTTGCAAAGCAATTTAAACTAGATCTCAACTAAAAGCTTCCAAATCCAGATTTTTTTTCTAAAACTTATTTTTAAAATAAATCACTACAAAATTTGAAGCTAGCTTTCATCCTTCTTGATTTGTTTTTTGGGTTTTTTTTGGGTTGTTTGTTCGCTTTTGGATTTTTGGAGATGGGGAAAGTTTTGGGGGGTTTTCCCATTTGACCTTTTAAGCTATTCTATTTCATTGCAAGGTTGTTATAGATCTTGTTATTAGGGTCTTCAACAACAGTATATTATAGGTTACAACAGATTTAGTGTTTTGGTTTAAACCCAGCAGTAAATAATTTTAAAAGGCAAGTAATATATTTCAGTGGCTTTAAAACAATGATGCTTTTCAGTGGGTTTCAAAAGAGTTAATGCTACTTGAAAAGAAAAATGTCATTTATCATTAAATTATCAATCTTGGAGAAAAAGAAATAATCTCAAGCTTGTTATATTTTGTGTTTGTGGTTTTTTTTTAACCCACTACCCTACCATCAGTGATAGTTCAAGTCAAAATTTGCTGGTACTTGTGAAAAACAAGTTGCAGATCTACTTTACTATTAAAGTAAAAGAAAAAGCTCTATGTCTTGGCGACCTTAATTGCTTTCCTGAAGAAGGATAAGAGTTAAAGGAAGAAGAAAATGTAGGTGTAACTCAGTGTATTTGGGAAAGTATTTTAAGTTGAAATAGTTTTTACGGAAGTAAATGTTTTCTGTAATGCTTATCTTGTAGTAGTATTGAGACATTATTTAATTTCCATGCTTAAGTCTAATGCTTATTTCTATTCTTGCTAGCTTACAAGAATTTGTAAAGGATGCTGGAAGTTACAGCAAGAAAGTAGTTGATGATCTTCTGGACCAGATCACTAGTGGTGACCATTCCAAAACTATTTATCAGCTAAAGCAGGTATGTCCTGGGTGCACTGAAGTTTCACAAATTCATCAGAATAAGAATGAACCTATTGGCTTTTTAATGCTGTGTGAGATGTTTTGTTTTCCACTGCCAGTTTAGGTAGTGCAAGCTTAGCTGTTCAAGCAACCATAAACCAAAATAGAGACTGAATTATCCAATGAAGGAGGAATCCTTTTCTCTGGCTAGGTCAGTTCTCCAATGTGGTTCACTATGTGACTGCAGAAGGGAGGAGACAGGAGATGCAGCATAGCAGGGACCAGCCAACTGGATGGAGTTTGGGCAGCTTTGTCACTCAGTGTCATACGGACTTCTGAGTTACATTGCAATCCTTTTGCTAAAGTTTTGGGTTTTTTCTTAATTGAAAAGCAAAATATATTTCTCATGGAAGGATTAGTTATTTGGAACATGGAAATAAAGTTAAAAAACAGAGCGATTACCACTGCACCAGGTGTCTGTTACCCCCCAGTGCTAACTTTTACATTCATGTAGTGTGTCTACAGGGAAAGCTTTTAACTTATTTCCAAAAGCACTTTCCTGAAGAGATGCATACTAAGATTGGAGAACAGAGTTTTCTCAGAAATATGTATGGTTCAAGTGAGAATGTTTGCATTCTCAAAACAAAATAAGCTAAAAAAAATGCAAAATTTCTGAAGATACATTTCATGTTGTCTTCATTTTAAAGACAGTCTTTAGTTTGAAATAATTGTCTGCTATTTAAAATGCTGACACTCTGAAAGATTGAAGAATAAGGAAAGGGAGGCAGGGTGGGAACATGAAAAATACTTAGGCTTTCTGACATGGTGAAAATGAGATTATGCTACGTCTTTGCAGACTTAGAAGTGGAATAGAGTGGGTGGTGTTTGGAAATAAGGAGACAATAGAATGAAAAACACTGCCGATCCTTTAGAATTTTCTGGGTGTTTTTTTCCTACAGGAAAAGATGGTACATATAACAGGAAAAAATGTAAATGATTAGTTAAAAAAGTTAAAACCTAATATTTTGAATACTCTTCTACATATAGAAATCTGTGTGTGCAACATAGTCAATTTATCATTAAAATAAAATGTGCCTTTGCCTTTTACCATGTTTTTCTATGAATGTCATTCCAGGTGAGAAATTCTGAGGACCTTTCAAATGGTCAATGGCTATTTACACTTGAAAATGCTGTTTAGTTGTGAAATTTATGGATATACACTGATTTTACACAATTACATGTGTTTCAGTGATCTTATACATGGTGTTCTATGCTTGAGCATTTTATACTGCTGCATCTGAGTAAGAATTAGTATCTCTGAAAGTACAACCTTGAATGATTTGTGATCAGAAGTTACTGAAGTAATGATGAAGATACTGCATTTGAATGTAAAGTTTATGAGCAGAAGAAATAGTATAAGGGACTCAAAGATTAGTTAAAATGCATAATATTAAATTATTTAAGAACAGCAACTGTTACATTCAAATTGCATTACAGATATGTGAAAAAGTTAGCTGTCTCTAGCCTCCTTTTGTGTGTAGTTTGAATATACTTGAAGTGGTGCAAGAAAGATATCTTTCTCATGTGTTGAATGTAAGCAGTTATCGGTATTCTTTCCTTCCAGAGGCGAAACATCCCAGTGAAACCACTGGATGAAGTTAAAGTAAGTTATGCTAATACTCTATTTGTTTGGGGTTTTTAACTAGGAAAAGTGTTTTGGCATTTAAAGTAGAGAAAGTCATGTTCTCTGCAACATTCCAGTTCTTTATTGTATTTAATGTGGCTCTGTTCTGTATGGTAATACAGAAAAGATTGATAAGTGGAGTGAGAAAGGAGAAGCTTTCAGTTATTCCTGGAGAGGCTGTCCTGGTTAGTTACAAATTGTTGGTATGACTGTATATGATTGCCCTAGAGAAGAACTGGTCTTTAGTTTTTTGTTAAGGTTCTACTCAAACATCACAGAATGTGGCAGTTTTCTGTGATGGACCAGGACCTCTTTGTGGAAAACCAGTAAATTACACAAATGTTCAAATATAAGCTATAAAATGCTAAAATCTAAATTATTTCTTTGTTCTTTAGGTTCTGCCAGTTCTTATAAAAGAAGAACACAAGTTGCGTAATACCTGTCTGGATTCTTCCAAACAGATTATGGTAAAATGGTTGTGGGGTAGGGGAGGGAAACAACAGGGGAAAAAAACAGAAACAAAAAAGTAATACTGAGACATTATTTCATTTCAGTGCACAATCTGAGGTAGAATATTAAAATTACATTACCTAGAATAAGGTTGCAGTACTGAAAAATAATTCTCTGATATTCAGTCTGCTTTTGTTTGTGGCTTTATTGTTCTTCAGTCTATTTCGGCATGCATAACTAAATCTCAGAGGCAGAAAAATCACATAGGAAACTGAAAAAGATACTTGATCTGCTGATCTATATTTGAGATTCAGCCTGCTGTAAAATTGGAAAAGCTCCGTTAATATTAATCAGTTTTACCATATCCATTGAAAATGTCTGTTAGAAAGTATGGGTAAATAATGTGTATCTTATGCTTTTACAGCTACTAATCAAATCTGTCTTCAAGTGGTACTGGTTTTATCTTGAAAATTATTTGTGACAACACAAGATATGCACTGCATTCCATGGCTATTCACATAAAAATTAATTATATTACTAAAAAAAAAAATCATAGTTTTATAAATATTCCTTATGTTTTGTGGAAAGGTGTGGATTTCTTTAGAAGATGACTGGTTATTTCATGTAAGTGCTAGGTTTCATTTTCATATTTCTGAAAGATAATATCTGGTTGTATGTTTACCTGAGTGTCTCATTTCTCCTGCTGGATCAGGCATCGTCAGAGATTTCCCTTAGAACAGGTTTTGAAGCTTAGTGATACTGATTTCTTCCTTTGTGCCATTACATTAGCAATATTGCAATGGGTGTGGAAAGAAAGGGAGTTGCAGAGTATAGGCTATATTTCATTATCCAAATATATAGGAAAAAGACTAGGGAGGCCAATTCCAGCTGATACTGTGAAGAAAGAGGCCCACTGTACAAAAAATTTCAGTAAATCCAATGTTCACATATGGAGAAGATGAGGGACACTGGTAATACTTCCAGCTGCTAGGGTTCTACCATGAGACATGGATGAGTCGAGTGTGTAATTGCATTTTAGCAGTCCTGGATCATGAGATAAAAGACTTGGACTACTGTGTGCACATTCCTGGCCCTTCATGTGACTGGTCTGTCCTGGAATCTTTTTGAGCTGTCTGAATTGTAGGTTAGCCAAGATGGTTATGGATGCTCGTCTCAGGTGTTGAGATAATACTTCTGAGAGAATGGATTTGTGCCTTACACATTGTGAAGTTAACATGACAGCTTGTCACTCCTGGTAATCTTTCTGTTACTTGTGTTATAATAGGTAGGAGAATCTGCTGGAGACAGTAACACTTCTGACTTGGACTTTCTCTCCATGAAGCCATATTCAGATGTATCTCTTGATATTTCTATGTTAAGTTCGTTAGGTAAGTAACTAAATTTACAAGACATTAGTTTGTACCATTTAGAGAACATGACAGCAGGATTTGCTATGACTAAACAAGGTGATTGAAAAGTATTAATAAGTATACATTTGACAGAGGTAAAAGTCTAGGGCTGATAAACGAAACCTTGCTCTGTTTTTCTTTTGAGACATCCATGTGTTATACAAGCTAACTTTTCCTGTACAACTGAAGAAAACAAAGTATTTGTACCTCACTATTTTGATAGCTATGCTTGTATTTCTTGTGTTCATAGTAATATGAATTTTAAGAATCAATGTGAAGCTTTCACTCAGAAATTATGTTGCTTCATATGATGTCTCTTAAAATAACTTGGGAATTAGGTAAGTATGTGAAACCGGATCATATTGCTACTTGGAATATCCCAAAACAAAAATCAGAAGAAACTTCTGGTGCTGGATAGACCTTATCTTCAGTTGCGGGAAAGAATTTGAATACTGTTTCAAATACAGGCCTTTGATAGTTATCCTATAAGTGCCACAACAAGTACTGTTACCAGTTCTGCAGGGAGCTGAGCTGGTCTAATATCTTCAAAAATATAATCCAAGCAAACAACTTGCTTATGTTGTAAGGTACTTTTAGTTCTGAATCTGAAAGAGGCCAAGCTATCTATTATAAAACACAACAAAACTAATTGAAGGCTTAAAAGGAAAAAATATTTCTACAAATTTCTCACATAGGTGCAGTTTGAAAAGCAATTGTAAGCTCTGATTATGCCATCTCACTCTAATTTTATTGCAGTTCAGTAAAAAAATGAATAAATATCTATTTTATAGATAATGTTTAGACATATTAGTCTTACTATAAATTTCATGCACCACTGAAAGCTACTTATATTTTATTCTTTGGCCTTTCTGTAAATAATCATACTGCTAGATTAGTTGACTTCCAGAAAGAGTTTATGAAATTACTTCCTATCATAATTCTTGCAAAATTAACATTTAAGAAATAGTAGGGAAGGAGTTTATCTTCCTGTTTAAAGTTGAGGAAATTTTTTTAGGTCTTGATATGAAAGAGTAGCATATATTGGCACATACGTCCAGCTCTTTCCAATTTCACAATTTAATTTTACTTACTACAAAATCAATATAGCTGGAAAAGATAACTGTTCTTAGAACCTTCTGTGATGGGGATATCTTTGCCTCCATAGATGTTATGTTCTGGTTTAACTGTATTTTGAGTTAGATATTTAAATTATCTGCTTGCTGACTATCTTTTGCCACAAACTAGATGTGTTATTTACTGTGAGGGTGGTAAGGCACTGGCACAGGTTGCCAAGGGAAGTTGTGCGTTCCCCATTCCTGGGAATGCTCAAGGTCAGGTTGGTTGGGGCTTTGAGCAATCTGGTGTGGTGAAAGGTATCTCTGCCCATGGCAGGGGGGTTGGAATGAGATGGCCTTTAAGGTCCCTTCCAACCCAGGCCAGTCTGTCCATATCTGGCATTTCACAGCTAAGGGACACAAATTAAGCTCTTACAGTTGTTTATATACTGGGAGTCAGTTCAATTTCAGCCATTTCCTTGTGGCACTTTACTTCATCCTCCAGTACTACACAGGTCTGCAGCTGTTGCTTTTTTGAAGTGAGAGGGGAAAATGCAAGATTGGGGCAATTTGTGTATAGACAATGCTTGTGGTAATTCAGTTTAGAACTTTTTTATAGTAACTTGGTAGTTCATGGGTTAATGTACTTGTGCTAATTATGGGTTTTGGTTGGTGGCTCTTAGGAAAAGTGAAAAAGGAGCTTGATCATGATGATAACCATCTACATCTGGATGAAACAACTAAACTGCTACAGGACCTTCATGAAGCTCAGGCTGACAGAGTGGGATCCCGGCCGTCATCCAATTTGAGTTCCCTCTCCAATACCTCCGAAAGAGACCAACATCATCTTGGTAAAGTTAGCTGTGTCACAGAAGTTCCAGTATTTGTGCTCTGTTTGGAATTGGTTTAAACTTACATTGGAGTTCATATAAGTCTTTGTGGGAAAACTACTCTGATAAAACTGTGCTGACTGATCACGTGTTAATTTTTAAATATGCCTGGCAGAGATAAATAACAAGATATACTTTTGACCTCCAGAGCTAAGACTACTAATTGTAATTTCCTATTTCTTGATTAGATGTGATAGAAGTAATTGTGAAGTAAATTGATAATTCAGTGGCAAATTCCTATAAGTGCTTGCATTTGATGCCATTACTTACACTAAGGAGCATATTATGATTACTTCAGCACAGTTGTGTGCAGCAAGTAACAAGTGGGATTCTACAACAGCATTTCATTGTCAACTGTAAAATTCAGTGATAAGATGGGATGATAACATAACGTACTGCTTAACAATTTAGTGCCATTTCTGAGAAGGTGGAAGGTATTGGATGGATGATAGTTGCATTTTGTATAATTACTCAACTCAGAGTGATAGCATAATGATTATTATTGCAAACTTATCTAAATTACTAAGAATCATGTGATTTCTTTTTCATAAGCTCCTGTTTAAATATAATTTAGATGTTTGTCTTACTTTAAAAGTCTAAAAGGAACATGTGAAATAACCATCCTTTTTATATGTATAAATCTCTCTTAATTTTTTCCTGTATTTTTAAAGTTTTGATTATTTTCCCACATTCAACAGGAAGCCCCTCTCATCTGAGTGTTGGAGAACAGCAAGACATGGTTCATGATCCCTATGAATTTCTTCAGTCTCCAGAAACCTCAAATGCTACTAGTAACTAATCTGACATGTACTATATTTATTTTGTATTTTAATTGTATTATGTTTTTATAAAGTTTTTGTCCATGACAGAAACTGCATTTTTGTCCTCTTTTCTATGAGGATTGCTGTATAATATCATGTATACAGGATTAAACAAGCAAACGTATAAAAACCCCAACCCCAAACTAATTAGTGCATAATGTCGTTAGCAATGTACCAAGATCTGCTTTCATTTTGTTTGTTAAGGGAGAGTGTTATTCACTGGTGGGTGAATCTTGCCTGAAAAGCAGCAAATCATGTGTTAGAAAAATTTATATTTTATAGACACTGAAAAGTGATAATTTTCCCAGAATCATGGCAACAATCTTTAAATGTTTGCATTACAATTATAAGCTAGTTCTGTAGATAATTGTTCTGTTCTCTACTGTTCAGGTTAAGACCTGAACACCTCCGAGGAAGAACAAAGAACTGCATTAATTTGGATCATTATTGTGTTTTCAATCTCCAAATGCTAATAATCTGCATAAATTGTTTTAAACATTTCCCTATATTTTAAAATAGTTTTTAATCACTGCTGAGAGCACTTAACTTTGTAGTTCCAGTAGAATGCTCATCTACAAAACTTCTACCGTGGATTTGAAAAAGATGAATGTTTTTGTGATACCTTGTATCATGTAACACAAAGAAAAGATAATACTTGTATTTTTTAATATGATGTGTATATCTCATAGGGTGAAAAAAATACTGGATAAGGTGTGCTTTTCAGTAATACCAAAATAAAACTTTTATAATACATCAATACTGAAACTGAGGGGTTTTGTACTAGTGCTATTTGCAAGCAGACCAATGTTAGGAATTTACATTATTTTGTAAATATTAATAAAAATAGAAAATCAGTTTTGATGTATAGAAAATCTGTTGTTCATACGAGGGAGAAGTTTGCTTCCTTATACTAAGTCTGAAGTACTAAAGAGTTTTGGGTTGAATTAATGTGCTGCTTCAGAAGATGAATTTCATCATGCCACATGTTGCTATGAACAAAAAACCCTTTTAGTTTTAGTAACCTCCTCAGTTTTTAGTAACCATGAAGGAAGTCAGATAACTGATAGTAAAGTCTTGATAGAGAAGATTGTTTTCTTCCAAGTGAGAGTACTGAAGAAGGAACACAGTGAGGTTTTTCTGTCTGGGAGTTGTTAGGATTGTGTGTGGCACTGTGCTTGGGCCCCATTTCTGCTCCTGCATTCTGATGCATCATGACCATGGGTTCTTGGAAGTGACATGGATGATCTGCTGTATTGCAGCAGTGTTGTTGGCAAGGATTTGCATGGAAACACAGCCTTGTGTCAGTTTGCAGCTTCCCTAAAGTATTTAAATTGAAAAGTGGCTTTAAATCTAAAGTGCTTTTGGTCTCTAGTAAGTCTGATTTCTCATACAGTAAATATAAATTGATTTCTGGAATAGACTTTAAATTATAGTTACAGCTGGTGAGGAAATCTTTATTGAAGCACTTGCTGTTGAATTGGCTGCCTTAGCTCTTGAATAAAATTTCACAGAAGAATGTTTAAAATACCCCTCTAGAGGAATGTGCTGGTTTGTTCTGGTTTTTGTTTGAACTGCAGTGTTTGCTACTGAAAACTGAAATAAGGTACCATATCTTATTTGATACCTTCACCTTGGATTTTAGGCAGAATGTATTCAAACTCTGTGAAATTCTGTAGATCAGCCTTTTTGGGCTCCATGAGCTGTTTGTATAAAAGGCTGGATGTTGTTTGCATCATTACTGTACCAGAGAGCACTTTGTGCCTGAGGAAGGTTTGCTTATTTATTCAGCCTATCGGGCCCTTAAGCAATGTTAGTTATGCACAGCAATTTCCAGCTGCTGTTCCATGGGTGCTGGACAGTCCCTTCACTAGGCCTACTGTCTGCATTCCCCAGGGAAAAAAATGCTTTTAGGACAGAACTTCTTTGTAGAAGCAAAGATAATGTTTTTGCTGTGGTGCCTTCTCAAAAGACATTGGCTTGTACTGGCAGACATTGACTTGTAACCTGTTTGCTGAATGTACTGAGACACGTGATTAGACTCACTAAATGCCACAAGAAAAGCTTTCTTTTGTTTTGTTTCTTTGAGAAATCTCATTCTTCTAAATTTTATAGAAAGATTGGACTCTTGAGTTTGCAGCCTCTGGTAAAATGCTAAAATTTTAAAATAAGTTGTTAAAGTAATATCTTTCAGGCATTTGTTTGTCATGGTGCATTTTTACTGATTCTTGGGCTAAAAGAGAATCTCTTGCTCCTCTTTGTTGGTGTATGTGCCTATGCTTGTACCAATGGTACACTCTTGCATCTTCCAAATGATTCTGGTTTATTTGAAAAAAAGCCTTAAGAAGAAATTTGCCTGTCCTTTCCTTACTCAATTAAAGGATAAAAAATTCTGTAAGCCATGTCTTATTTGCTCTTGTCTCTGCAGTAGTAAGTTCATATACACAGAAAAGCTTTGAACTAACCAGTAAAGGCCTCTAATCTTATGGTCCTATTTAAATACTAAGAATTTGAAAAACTTGATTTAGTTCTCTGAATTTATTTAACATATATCATTATTTATTTAATCTGAGATAAAACACCATTCCTTTCCAGTGTGTTTGGTAGATATTTCCTGTTTGGCCCATTTGGGGGATGATGCCTTGTTCAAATCTGTAATACATAATATGTAACATCTTCTAGCTAGGTGGCACTGTATGTCAATAAACTCTATGCGAGTTCCCATCGGTTGGAATATGCTGCATTGAAAAAGAGGGGAAATTCCTTGGTTGTTTTGTAAAATCAACCCAGGGTTTATAAAAAATTGAGAAAATTAAATGCATTTTTTCAATTTTTCTCTGTAATAACTGTGTCCAAAAGCACTAAGGATGTAAGCAATATTAAGAGAAATCTTAAGTCTGTTCTTCCACAATGTAGAAATATATCAATGAAAATGTAAAATGGTTTAAATAACTGTTCTTTCCTCTGTTTTTGTATGTCTATCATTAAACTCATGTTTTAGCACAGTCATCTTCAGTGACAGCAAAGGGAATGTTGAGACTATATTGCACATATAGCAAACATCTTTGTAAGCAAGAATTTAGCATGGAGCAACTTTATTCCACTCTCTGAGATAACACAAGTACAGCGACAGAACTTACCTGAAAATATTAGGTGAAAAATAAAATTAAAAAAAAATCTTTGTAATATTCCTTCCTTGCTCTTTATTAAAAAAGAAAAAAAAAAACACAAAGACATTCTTAAATCCATGTATTTTGCTTATGCAGATGAGACCTGAACAGCTGACCAGCAGAAATAACCTGATTTCTCCACCCCTATATTCTAGATTGAAGTGCTGGTTCTTACCATGTCACTCATTTTTGTGTCTGTTGCTTTGCTGTTGTTTATCTACCTGGCCACAGTAGAATTTGGAGTCTGCACACCATTACTTCCATATGGATGGAAATGCGCTGCTTTTTCACATATGGTTTTTCCTACCCTTCTACCATCCAATACATATTCTTGGAATATGTATTACTATAAATGCTGATCTGTGTGCTGATGAGGGGAGAAGAAGCCATCCACCTCACAAGGAAGGCTAGGGCGTCTCCAAGGGATGGCATTTATTCCTAGTGCTTTTAAACTTTCACTTGACTGTTGCAGAACTAAGTTTATGTAGATGAGTTGGGTTTGTGTTGCATGTATGCATGTATGAAACTAAATGTGAATTGTGTGTTTAAAGAGCCTTTAAGTGATGGCTGCAAGTAAAGGGGCAGGGGGTGGGAGAGCAAGAAGAGCCACAAGTATTTGGAAGCCAGGGGGCAATGCTCTGCAGCTGAATTATTTTTCCCAGAATGATAAGAAATTAGTATAAATCTCAGAAAGTAAGACTGGATGCTATGTCTGCAAGGAAAGACCCCTCAGAAACAGCCTTGTGAGAAGCAGAATGCCCAGCTCTCCATTTGCTTATGAGGCATTCATACCATTGTTGCAGGATTAAAACTTGGTGAATCTGTCATGGAATTATGAACTTACACTAACTTTATTTTCAGAAGAGTCAATTTGGAGGACATGTTTTATATTAGGTTTCCTTCTTTGGCAGTTAATTACATTACAGAGCACAGTCTGAAGTTCTGCATAATGTCCAAATAAAACTCTTCATTTTGCATGGGAGAGCGAGAAAGGTTTAATAGCTTAATGAGAGAGAAGACACTGATAGGCAGTATTTCATTCACTTTTTTATGTACAAAACATAGATTGTTGCTAGGAAATGGTATGGTGTCACTGGAGCACTCTTATGACAGCACTGTAGTTCTTGTCGAAACAGAGGTTGAGCAGTCAGCACAGCTGTAGATCTAATGCCTAAGGTCTTTTGCAATATGTTTAAGAAAACAGTCCTAATTGTGTGCCTGCTTTTGCTTCTTTTGAACATACCCTGGAAAAAAACAGGTTGCTGATGATTATCATGCCTTTATAGATGATTAACAGCCTTACTGAAGCTTTGATATGCCTGCAGTTGTGTTTTTTTCTGTCATTTACATTCTCTGTATTATCAGCTGAGGACGTGTGTCAGTTGTGTTGTGTCCCATAGCCATTTACAGTGCAGGAGAGATAGAGGAAAGGAGGACAGAGACCTGTAAATCCAGCAGCATGCTGCATTTCTTCCTCAGGAATACTTGGAAGAGATGACAAATGAGGTTATCTCATTTAGAGGTCTTCCCCTATATCCCTTTCTTTGGAGGAGGGGATAGGTCTAAGCTAGGAAGACATGAAGAATACTACCAACTGCTGTGAAGCTTCATTTTGATGCTATTTTAAAAATATAATAGATCTATACCAACAGTAGAACATAGTAAGAGGTTTCAATTCTAACACTGACAAGGTATAAAAGAAAAGGCAGCCAAAACAGGCATTTCTCACCTATTTGCCAAAGTGTTTGTATGTTCTAGCTGACAGAGGATTTAAATACAATAAATATTGAGACCTTTTTTCCTTAAATTTCTGCCTCTTTTAGCAAATATTTGAAGAGGCAAAATCCTGAAACTTCTGTGTCTCTGCACTAGTCCTTTCTGAATTAGATTTTTTTTTTCTCCAGCTTAGCTGCAGTTCTGTTTCTGATGAATAATAACTTTGCCTAGACATCATAGGAAATAATTGCATTTGGGTACACAGTGAGACTTCCTGGACTAGTGAAGAAAACACACCTTCCCATTGTCTTCCTGTTGTGTCAGTGAGCAGTCATTCTCTTCAAAATATTGGTAATTGCTGTCATAGTAACAAAACAAAAACATGGTGTGGCAACTATTTTCAGCTTTGCACACGTGTTATCTTTCCTGGCTGTAAAACACTTCAGTTTTTAACCAGGACAAGAGGTGTCCTCTAGTTTAAGCCTGGCACAGATAATTTTTTTCTGAAGAATGGTTCAGGTGTGTGTGGGTGGGGGGGTGTGTGTGGGGGGGGTTGTAATGTTTTGTTTTGTTTTGTTGTCTTATGTTGGGTTTTTTTTAGGCAGATGGCAGAAGGCTTAGAGGTAGGAGGGGAATTACAAGACAACCATTGCAGAGTGATCAGCTTACTCCTAGTAGCTATTTGCACTACTCGTGAACACCTCTGCAGGTAGGATGGGGTTGGCAATGGAATTCTGGGTGCTCTGGCAATACCAGCCTTTGTGTTCTTTAGCACAAGACAAACCGAGCAAAAATGACTACAGGAGCTTCACAGGAAGCTGTGGTCATGCTGCAACTTCCAGGGAAAAAAGTTCCTCGCCTGGCTGCAGCAAAACAGCCAAGAAAGCAGTGGGAAGGAGGGTGAGATAAGCTGGCAGGGAGGGAACACTTTTGGAGGAATAGGGGGGAATTATGAACCAAGAGTCCACAGCTTTCATGTGTAACTTTTTTCTTGGGCTTTTGCAGTAACAATTTATTGCAAAACTGTAATGCATTTCATGCATCGTTTCTTCTTTTTCTCTGCCTTCTTTGCACCAGCTAATGACTTGCAAGAAGTGTAAAGAGCACTCAGAAATGTCCAAATGTCCAACCCTGAGCAAGGCCCTTCATCTACTTCTGAATATTAGGGAGCATTTAATAGTAAATTATTCTCTTAGGATGTAATTCTACTGAGTTGGGGACGAAAATGAAACTTGAGGGGTTATTTAGACTGTAGATTTACTTTCTGTTTTGAAGAAGGCAAGCTGACCTTGCCACATTTGGGTTTGATTCCAGAGAGGAGGATTGAAAAATGTGGAAGAAAAAGATTGTAATGGAGGATTAATTCATCCCAAATACTAATAATTTGATTTTCAACCCATGCAATTCTGTGGCATGTCACAGGCTACCTAAAATTTGAGAAAGGGTAGAGAATGATATTTTGCTTTCAGTTACTATGCATTAAAATTTTGAAAAAAATATTCTCTTCTTAATATTGCAAATCTACTCTTGCCAGTGAGAGGGAAAGGTGCAAAATGAAAATAGGTCTAACTTGCACAAGAGGAAGATATGCTGGATAGTTTTGTTCATTTTCTCTTATTATACTGAAGCTCTTACCAATAAAAAAAAAATTAAAGTAATTTGGTACAAAATTGTTAGAAGAAACACATACTTGATCACAGTTTGATCTCTTTTAAGCAATTTTGTCATTAATATGCTTGATGCTTTCTTAACTTTTTTTAACATATCACTGGTCTTCCAGTCATCACCTTTTTTTCTCACCTTGTTGCTGGTACAATTTACCCAGCAGTGAAAAATGTGCAAAGAAAAATTTGAATTATTCTACTCCAGTCATGTCATCATGTCATCAAGAATCAACACTTATCTCTGCAAAGACAATGTATAAATTATTAAATTAAGTAAACAAGTTCCAAGTTTTAGAGATATTATTTTTTAAATTCTTTATTCTTTTTTTGGCCATATTAATGAAACTTTGTAATCATTCTAATTGTTCATATATGTAGCATCATTATATATATAAAATCCCATTTATTTTATAAAAAAACCTTTTGCTACAATTTGAATACTCACAAGCAGAGAGAAGATATTCTGCTCTTAAATGTTTAGAAATGCGTTTCTAACAATAATGTTGCTGCTTCAAGGTACAAAATGGACTAAAGCACTGCTTCTATCTGTTTTATGGATCTCTACAAATTTTTTTTTTTAGAAGTCTGTCACATTCTTATGTATGGAATTAGGCCATTGCAGGATCACTAGCTGCCTTGAAACTGACTCAAATTTAGTAATGATTTTATTGTACTTGTTTAAACTAAGGCCAAATTCACAAGTGGTTTTTTTCAGTAGTTTATAAAGAAATAATTTGTAATGTTCACTTCCCTTCTCAGGAATTTGCAGCTCTTACTGTGCTTACAGTTTGTTTCTAGTCTATCTTTAAATACCTTTAAGTTTGGTACCAATAGCTTTGATTTGTTTTAGAATAATGTTAACTCATCATTAGGATTTGCAGTTAATTGTTCTGAAAAGCAGGGAATACAGAATGAACTTGAAAGCACAAGAAAAGTGATCTGATGGAATTGGTCCTCTTAGGTAAGTGCTTAATTCAAAACCTTGTTTTTTCCCTAGTCCTCCTACTCCTGCAAGTGAGAGGAGGCTTTGTATTTCTATCTAGCAAGGGTTCACATTTACCCTGCTAAGCAGAGCTCAGTGCCTTGTGGAAACACATGGACTAGCACAAACTCTGCTGGTTTGTGCTCCAGGGGGTCACAGTCATCCTAACCCTCTGAGCAGTGTGGTTTAATCCCAGTGGTATAAAATATATCAACTAGGCAGATTTTGGGATGTACTTCCTTCACTCACTTGGAATTTTTACTGCACTATACAATATTTGTTCTGTCTCATTTTTCTTGAACATATATGGAAGTATTTTTGAACTAATTAGTAAGAATTATAGTACTCCTGGAGCCATGCAAATCTTCAAGTACAATTTTTTTACTTGTCTTTCAATCTTGCCTTTAGCACAATTTCAGAAGAAATATGACATTTGAACTTCTAAGGTTAGGTTAGCTGAGTGTTGAATGGATGTAATATAACAAAGTTAAAACTGCCTGTAACTTCATGTATATGTTTGATTTATATAGCGAAAACAACAAATTTTTCTGTATTCTATACTGATAATATGCATGACATTTGATCTAAAATTTTCTGTTTACAGGCCTCATTCTTTAAAATATGAATCTGATTGCAATGTCTTATGCAAATATT